AAAGTAGGATTGCGATCACAATCATCTAGTTTGGGATTTATAGTACTCTTGCTTACATTTTGTCCACACTAGGTCAACAGCCAATAATTTTACGGTTTGAAGTTTTATCATTCTGACGTATTGAGCGCGTCAAAGTTTCTATGTATGATAATAATGTCCTGAAAGCGTAGAAAGTTTTCAAAAAAATGATATTTGAAAGGGTAATTCAAACTTCTGTTGACAGTTTGATGAACACTCCTAATATAATGAAATATACTGTTGCTAGAGGAGGAAGGCCTTAATGAATATTCAGTGAAAACACTTTACAAAGACCAGCACAACGACTATCAGTCGAAACCACTTAGTCGGCTCATTCTGACAGAACCATTAATGGTGATTATAAATCCCTCTCGTTCACCATAGTTGTAAAGAAGAACATTCTAAAATCTTGTACAGACATCAGTTGCTAATTACGTTGCTGTAAACACAGGGCAGCAAACTTAAATTTATAGCTGTTTTTTGGCCGGAGCTGAAATGAAGGTAACGTTAAACAGATCTCTAATTTATTCTTACAACCTGCAATAGATAGGTACCTAAACCTCAGTTAGCCGATCGTTTCACATTAACATCAATAATACTATCACAACTAATGTGGATGCACGGATTCTAAAATAACTTTTCGTTCAAAAACTAAGCCATCGTAGACACTTGTTAGACTATCAAATATTTTTTTCTCCTTTGAGATTAATTCCTTCCCCTACGTGAGAAAAATATAGCGTTACCTTAATCAGCATCTGACTGGACCACGATCAGTTAGAATGTCTGCTATGCTAACAGTACCCACGTTTTTCAAGACTTTGATTCATTAGTCTGGTGCATTGATACATATCTTAAATAGTTCTCGAACTGACATTACATCGCATAATCAACAGGTATAAGAAACAGGTACCTGTGATTTTACCAAGCCACTTCTCATTAGTTAGGCTTCAAATAAGTACTGAATTAATTTTGGCTGTAAATTTTTATGTCACATGCAACTTATGAATGTTGAGAATAAATTATTACTATAATTCTAAGTGTGCTAATTCATTCAACCAATTATTGCAACTTCCATAAGCAGCCATTTACCTGTATTATTAGGGCACAAAATTGTGTGAAACTAATGTCACTGTAGTCAGATTTTCCCCTACTGAGCCTAGTATTGCACTTTTCTCTGGGCATTTTATTTGAAGTGTCTAAAGTTACTTGTTTGAAACTGATGTTTCATGCATTACAGACCAGCTTTTTGTACCTAAGACTGTATATTATCTGGCTACAGCTTGTGGCGAATTGAGACTACTTATCGCTAGATAACCAAGTTAAATCCTGTTAAGGCCAAAACTCAAAAGACAGGCTGCAATTGGAGGACGAAGTGTATTGATTGATGATCTCGCGATATCGAGAATACCGTAAGAGGCATATGATCATCCACCGAGGTGACCGAACAATGTTAGCCACTCGTGACGCGCGTAAGTAAGGGTTTTCTGCACAGTTAAACAAAAGTAGTACAGTAAAACAATCATTAGTACAATAAATTACAATAATACCTCTTTTCATTTCACCGATCGCGTTTTCTTCGTAAAAGTATTTCACTACAAGCTAATGAGACTAAGCGATACAAGGAGAAATTCAGAAAGTAATGGAGTTCATAGAAGCAGCCTTGTCTGATCGAACTTGAGCAAATCATAGCTACTTTCGAGTATTCCCTCTCCAACTAGCTATCAGAACCTTAAAGAACATCTTTGAAAGAGATATTGTATATGTAGTTAGATGAGCAGTTCAATAGGAAATCAAGTAAACAAACGTTTTCTGCAAATATCCTGATGGTCTTTCTGTTCTAGAAATTTTATGGAAATTAACGAGTCCTCGTTGACCTTCCATCAATTACTAGGAACGATCTGGTCTTTGACTCTGAATTTGGAGATTCAGACATTACCGAATATATAAATTTTGTCTCCTTTCATTGGCAGACAATCAAAATAGCATTATGAACAAACGTAAACTCACCAAGTTGGAATCATTTTTAGGTAGGTCAAGTTGCTTTCAAAAACAATTCTCTTCGAAGTTGCTTCATGAGCACACACATTCACTGGCCCGCAAAAACAGGACTTATGGAAAAGTTAATGGATCCATGCGAAGGTTCTTACTTGGACGGTCAAATTTACGTGTATTTTCGTGTATTTTACCCCTAAAATTATCTCAGTCTTCACAATTAAAATATTAGCCCTTCATACAAAGCCAGTGTATCTAGTGAAATAGATTACTAACCAAACAACCTTTAACAGTAGATATGTTAGCGATTGTAACATTCTGATCTTGCCTAAAAATTGGCCTCAAGTAACTCGTGATTTGGCAACTAGTTATTATTTTTTGAATCATTATTATTGTGTTCAGTAATGGCGTTCCTACAAGTTGTTACACTATAACAACTAGGGAGTCTAGTACTGTAGTGAAGGAGAACACTGGTGAGGGCAATCAAATTGTATTTAACGAAAATTACAGAGTTACTCGGTAAAATAGGAAAACCATATCGTAACCGTTAATTTGCAAATCTTCAATCCATTGTCTGACATTTTACGATTCATGCGTTTCATACAAATTCCATTGTGTTCCCACTCTTCCTTCCTTGATCTCCCCCTATCTTCGGCTGTCAGACATTACGTTTACACACGCGTCATATACTACTTATAAGTAGCGCGCACCACAGTAGATGTGAGAGTTTCGGTGTCAGTGGTGAGTGGAAAATCCCAGTCTCGACTGGTAGAGCCATGAAAAATCCTCAAAACTCACTCGAGAATGTCCCTTAGAGTTATCTGCATAATTCGGATCACCTTCACCGGACCTATAACAAAGACACCAGGACGAAAATCCCCCTTAGAATCCTACTCCTAGGTAGACCAGTAGGCAAAATAAGAATAGGAGAAAAGGCATCCCAACACTCGAGCCATACAGCCTACCGTTCATAAAGCACATAAAGATGACGGTTTTGGCTGCTCGCTGCCAGTTAAAAACAGTGGCTCTGAATTTGAATGCAACTTCTACAGTGCATGAATTCATTTTCACTGTTACACTTCAGTACTAGGAAAGTAATATAGATTCATGCAGAGTCACTCCCGTCCATATTTCCCGTATGTTTATTCTCAGTGCAAAATCACCTAGGTAAAAAGTAGCAGCAACGAAGCTGCAGGTCCCACCAGAAATAAACCATCGGATTACCCAAAGTAGACCAGCACAAAACCGACCAAACAGGCTATAAAAGTAGCCGCGACCCGAATCAATACGCCGATGGAACTACCGGTTTCTTCAAACTCATCGGTACTCGGTAACAGTTCGGAGCGGTGGCGAAAGCAACAATCGGAAATCGTAGCTCAGCAGTTCTAAAAACGCTGTAGGTCAAGGACAGGGACTTCAGACAAAACTCATCTATTTTAGTTGATGTTCCAGTATCAGGAGGTGGCTTCTATGCAGTAGGGTTGTTTTTGGTAAGGAGCAACAGGATTAACACTGTGCGATGCTTCGAATGAGCAATACTCCGAATAAACTTCACTGTCTTTTCAAGGGTCGAAACATCGCCAAACGGAAACCGTTTCATCTGAGGATTACTATGAACTCGACACATGTTGATGAAGAAATTCTCCTACGTTCGCAGAGACCCTCGGTTAAACTGTTCTGTCCTATCAGAGTCAAGCACGACAAATCGTGGTCAGCACGAGTAGCGGCCAGAAAATCAAGAGATACCCAACAACAAACTACTATGTTGGTTCACGACGTGCTTGGGCTGGTTAATAGCAATTTGGATGAAGCGGGTTCACATAGTAAGAAGCAATGGCGGTGGCTGCCATGTAGCATAGGTCTTCATACCACCATGGCGACTAGCATCTCCTAGCTCCCTCGCTAATCGCACCTCACGACAATTAAGTCTATATTTATTATGGCTGTGAACTTCAGAAAACGAGAAGACCTGAGGAGCTTCAGGCCTCATAAACCATGAAGAATGATCTGTGTAGTTACATTAGATGTTGCGAGAGCCGACCTAGATCAGTGAGACAACATTAGTAAGGGAAAAAAGCACACACTAAAGTCGGACAACCCAAGGTGCCAGGCACAAAGGTCATGGTTTCGGCTGTTGGGCTCAGAACGACAAATTGACTGAGGTAATACTACAAGTAGCTCTCCTTGGGTTTGATCGAATACACTTAGCCGCATATTTCGGCACTTCAACTTTAAATCTCAGAAAATGGGGTAAAATTCCCACATGTCGGTTACTCGAGCGACTTCGCGCAGCTATTAAAAAAGCTGGGCGTGTATGCAACACTGCTGGATAGACTAAAGAGGGAACATCTTCATACTTGAATTGCTTTTTACCAATGATCAGCACCATGTCGTATATTTTTAAGTTCACAAGCGAATATGAAGTAGTGACCATGGAGTAATGATGTTTAACTTTGTCCTAATGTAAATACTCAGGCTAGACAAAAACAAGACCTACCTTCGCTACACCAGGGATAAGTACACGCGCATCGGCGAGAACCTTCTAAAAGCCATATGGCTACGGGAATTATGGAGGCTAGCAGCAGATGACCACTAAAAAAACAGTGAAAGACACTATTCGAAATGGTGTCCACAACCTAACCCAGGTATTTCACAGACCAAGAAAGAGAAGAACTTGGGTTAAGCGGGGCTTTGAACACTTGAAACAGGCGAAAAGGAGAGCTTCGAACAAGTAGAAAGTCTCTCTGAAGGATTTCGAGCGTCTTTCTTATTTGGCATTGAGAAATATGCAATGGCAAGGTTCGAAGTGATAAGAGACACTTCCAAAAAAAAGCTGCCAAAATGCAAGCAAACCAAAGATATGTGTTTCATTTTATGATTAAAAGAACAAGAATGGAGCAACAGGGAATAAACTGGCGTTATACTAGATCGTGAAAAAGCCTTTGGATCACAATTGTTTGTTTATCTTTATTACTAGGGATAAAATCGCTGTTGTCATAGTGTCAACAAAGGATCTCTTTCTGAATAGTTAGTATGGGGGATGTTGCAGTTTGTAATAATTCATCCGAACAGCCGGAGAGAGTATACGGTGACTCTTCAACGATTGGGTTCAGATCATTAAAGCACACACCACAGGAATGGACTTCATATCAAAAAGAGAAGTATTTTCAGGCTGCCAGTGATTGCAAACAAACAGAATGTGTGAATGACTACACAAAATCAGTAGATCATCATTAATTATTCTACAAATAATGTTAAGGTTATCAATAAAACTGATGCTATAACGAGAAAGCTCCAGGCCAACTCAACGAAACGACTGAAAGAAAGACTCCATGATATTATTTTCTGGAAGCAAGAGTTGGAAAGAGAGATAAGTGATATCACTCAAGAGACCGCTCTTCTGATCAAAGAAAGAGATAGGTTGCAGAACTTTCTCTTGGAAACAGATCTTCCGTTGCAAATAGCGACTGACAACTTGAATACAAGAGAATACAGGAGAGGAATTGATAAGGTTGCTGACTCCGTAGAATCAGAGTTATGTAATGTAAGTAATTAAAAACCTTTAAAAAAAATCAAACTAGGGCTGATCCAGCAAATTCAAATAATTCATTATTAAATATTTTCATGAACCTAATCTGTGTTCCAATATCCTATATCTTTTTCCTGAGCTAGTGCAATACCAATTGATTCCTTTTGTTACGGTTTCAGGTATGTGGTTATGTCCAATGGATGATAATCAAGCTACTCGTCTGCACTATTTCTAGTCGCTTGTCAGTGATACATGAATTCGGACAACAGGGTTTCTGGATACCATTAGCTGTCACATTACAAGGCTCGCGATCAGCTTGTTGCATTGTGAAGATCTATAGTGAGAGAATTCTAATAGTAATGAGAGGATTTCAGAACTAAGTAGATAAATTGATAAATAAGTTGATTAATTGGTAGATAAGATTGTGCAAGTAGAGAGAAGTGTAGACAAGGACCAGGAAACAGAGATAATAATGAAGGGAGAATAAGTTGGTTATCTGAGGAAATGACAATGATAATAATAAGCTAGTGTTGAGACGTGCGCCACGCACAGCTAGTCCAAGTAGAAGATGACAGTGTATTTGTGGGCACGTGGTTATCAAGTCATTTCTTGAAGCTATCCACTGAGGGGAATGATCACTTCGCTTGGGAGGGCATTACAAGTTGGGACAACTCTTGACGAGAAAAAGAGTTCATCAACCTAGATGTTCACTCTTTGTTATGCAGGTTTTTGGGGATTACCTCGATGGTCGTGATAGTGATGCCTCGGTATGATGCTCATGTTGGTATGATTCGGTGTACTTTGTATACACGCCATTAATAGATTACTTTGATTCTCTTGTAACTCAGAGGGAAATCTTAAGTGTTGGAGCCTATCTTTTGAGGTTTATTCTTTAGCCCCACCAGCCATTTAGTTGCTCGTCTCTGCATTCGATCCGGGAGAGTTATGTCTCTTTTAAGGAGACAGAGTGCAACAAAACTGTGAACTTCAAGATATGGACATGCATATGTTTTAAGGACAATTAAGAAAATTTATGGGGCGATTGCTCCAAGTTGTCTTCGTATAAAGTGGATAATTGCGTTAGCTTTGTCTGCATCCCCTATGTACTTTGAGCTAGTGTTTAGGCTTTTTGTGGTCCTATGACCTAAATAGCGTTCTGACGACCCATTTATTTTTTAGACACTGAGTAAGGATTTTCCAGTTGCAGATGTCATGGTTTTGTTTTCCACATCAGCATAGAATGTTGTTGATACTTATGCAGACGTGAATATTATAGTGCCATTTTGAATGCTTTTTGACTGGATGTGACTTGAAAAGTTCTTTCACAACATTATCATTCAGTGATATTAGTTGCAGACTAATTCCAGAACGTGTTTTCCAAAGAATCGCCTTTGATATGAATGTGGCGAAACAATGTTTGTATGGGCGATCTCAAATCCTATCATAAACGCTATTCAACCAAAACTTTGGATTAGTCTGTTACAACTTTTGAGGCTTTGAGAATATCGCTACATTTGACCGAATGCTATTTTATATTAAGGTAAATGTTCATTCCTATGTGCTGGCTCCTCAATCATTGATAATCTGAGGTTCATCCCTAGAGAAAAATTGCTCCACCTGGTTGTATGATACAAAAACCGAGTTCCTAAAGATGACTAGTTGGTTTGTAGTACACTGTAATATATAGTTTCTCAGAGATCTGAAAAATAGTCAGGGATAATGTAGCAATTTTGTAACCGTTGAACTAAAGTTAATGGTGTCTTCACATAGTTACTTTAAAGTTGTAGAGTGCAATTTTAAAGCCATCTACGAAGTTAGATGAGGATGCACCCCTAATATCCGTATTCATTTTTCCGCACCGTAATTCTTATTATGGAAATATGTGCACTCAAAAGTATTTTGATGAACAATAACATTTATCGACCTTTGGACCCCTTTTTCATCTTTACATTCTATGAACTTGAAAAAAATAATAGAAATATTACTCTATTTCACTACTAGATAAGATGAAACAAATTGATCCAGAATACGAGCCCAAAGAACACAAATGGTCATAACTATTCATTTAAACAATAGAAAACAAACTCATGCCTGCAGTCTGTTGGTAAGGATATGCTGAAAAAATCTAGTATCGCCTGCTAGTATACACATTGTAGCTCTTAAAAATTATTTTTTGGCCAACATTTGTATCTGTTCTGAAGGAATTTAAGAGTTTCCCTACCAGATGATGAATAGTTTACAGCCGATCTTAAGCTTTTTTGAGTTATTAGCACAACACTTTCGTTAAATCTATTAGGTAATGAATGACGCATTCACACAGTGCATGAAATTAGTATATCTTCGCTTCGTTTTTCGAATTACTATTTCCACGTTCATTTCTTTTATGATTTTTAAATGTTTATTTAAACCATATGGTGTAATAGTTTTAATCACTTTTGTCTGTTCTGAATAACTTTATTAAACTATTTTGTATGTTTAATCATATAACAATGCTGTGGATGAATATTCATGTTTCTTCAATCAAATATTTGGCTTAACGAAACTATGGGGCACCTTGAAGGAGGTGGAACTCATTCGAAACGTTCAGAAGTTGCTTAAAAATGCTATTGAACAAGCAGATAAGCAGATTTGGTAGGATATCTGTTGTGAAAATTACCCAAAAAAGTTTTAATTGTAAGAGTTTGTTCAGGGTAATGTGAAAACTAAATCATTTTCCCCAAGTGGATTATTTTAGTGATAACAATAAACTACAGTGATAATCCAGAACTATATTTTTTGCCTCTTGTTGAGATATAAAATTAATACATTAGCCTCATATTACAAACCAGCTAAATGATAAGAAGTGGATTTAATCAAGTAGAGGTTAAGTCTTATACTTTGATGAAGTATCGATATGAAACGTACATGTTAAAACGCTATGTTTTTCTGCACCACGTTTTTGACTCCCTATAGCGAACTAAATTATTATTTGCTAGTTATCTTACTAACATTGAGTTGCAAGTTTCTCCATCAATCTCGATACGTTAGAGTCAGTCATAAAATCATGTTCAAAATCTCCAAATGATGTATACAAAATAAAAACAATCACAAAGTCAAGCGAGTAATGTATTCCATTCTAAATTTACTTCAGATTATTAAGCTGACTATCCGGAATAGGAGAAGTGTCTTACAAATATTGTGCAAAACGATGAAAAGTAGGTCTTGCAGGACTCCTTTTACTAATGGTGTATATTTTAAGTAGTAGTCAGTAAGGATTGAGAATGTGAATTCTGTTTGTGATCGCTTTATCCAGTGCTAAGTATAAGGGGTTGTTAAACCAAACATTAGATTTCTTAACTATATCTTTCTAATTGAATTCAAGTAAAAGATAAATTACATTTTTGTAAGACAGTAATTGCATTATTACCTTTTTCTAATTCGTTCACCTTTGTTTTCGACTTAAGTGTGAACTACACAATACTTGTGTTAGATATAGTGTTATGGAATGTTTAAACGATTCATCTTGTGCATGAATTTTATTGCGCCTGAATGGCTTTCCATTACATGATAGAGACTTCCAAGAACAATCTGGCTGTTTTCCCATCTTCTTACGAGATGGATAGAAATAACTTTTGTTATAGATCGAAAATTGTATCCTGAAAATGCTTTAAGGTAAGGTGGCCCATGAACGTAAAAACCGAGTCAACAAAAACGCGTAGAAGAGAAGTGTCACCATTGTATTTGAATAATCGTGGGTAACTATACCTAAGAGTTTAACCAACTTGCTTTCATATTGAGTGAGAAACAAGTTTCACGTCATGTTTACCTTTAGTGTATTTATCAAGGGTTGGATTTGAGCACTTTTTTTCTTTACGGTGAGATGCTTTTTTAAACACCATATCTCTTATTTATCTTCATGATTTTTCAATGATAATGTAGCTTATTTAAGTGACTTAACTTAATCTTTATTTCAAGACAATTGTTAGTAATGAAACACTATTCTAAAAAGTTAGCTGCCAATTAATAAACCTAAAATAAACATTTAAGAACAAAAGCGTTAGCTTTGTAACTTCAAGATATACGAAACGTGTATATCTTAGAATCCAGACACCTAAAATATCTCCAGGTCGTGAAAATACACTTCGTGCGTTCCAAATTAATCTATCTTGATTTATTTTCATCTGAATTTCATATGAATGCTTAATTGATTTGCATTATTAGAAAGAAAATTGATTGATTATTTGATGGCTACCATAAACTTAGATAGTTATCACTGTGAAACCTAATTTTTGGTAAATGGGTATTTTCCTAATTTCATTTTTATGCACTTGATTTTAGTCTGAATCGTTCAGCTAAAGAAGCATTAGAAATGAATTGGAGTGATAAGAAGGAAGCTGAAGAAATTGATACTAAAGCAGGAAATGTAAACAATTATTCCCCGAATAAACAGTTTTACGCTGGAGTGGCACTATATCAAGTAAGTTAAAAACAACTTTGCAGAAGCATATAAATGGATGTACTGGATTTAATCTACTAAACCAGTGTGTAAATATTTACTGAATAATCATTTTCGAATTACCTGTTCCATCTTTTCAGGAAAATATGTCGACTGTTGAAAGTTGGGCAAAGGATGCAAATGAAGTGATTACCCGTGCAGAAGCAGAACGTCTTGCTAGCAGTGATTTGCGTTCGCTGATAAACGGTTTGATTGTCGATACATCACGTGACATGAGACAACAGTTTGACCGTGTTAATGCTGCTTTCCAGGATAATTTGAATCAACTTATGACAGCTAAAGCAACTTTGGAAGATAATTTGAAAAATGTAAACTTCTTTTCTAGATTGTTAGCCATGAACACAATTCACTCTTATTCTATGTATTCAAGGTGTTGCGGTAATTCGTCCATATTATTGTGTCCCATTTAAGTAAAATGAATATTGCAGTTGATATTTTATAAGCAAATTTTTACTCTCGTTAGTGAAAATGATATATTGTCTACCAACGTTTTAATCAGCAGAAAAAGATTTATTTGATTATTCAAATAAAATGAAGTTGCGTGCTAATTAGACTTGTTTAGATGCACGAAACCGCATACCTCGTAGTTTAATTGCTTATTTCAATGACAAAATACCACTATTTAGTTGAATGATATAAATTATTGATAAGAGTACCTCATTTTGTTATACAGTAATTAAGGCATAGACGACCATAATTTTTGGTATTAGATAGTCGTTAAGCTATTTCTAAAAGCGACTAAAGATAGAAATACAAATTGTATAATTATGACTCGGTGATCTAAGGCTTTCATAATTGCCGCTACCTCTCAAATTCTGTTATTCGATGATGAATAGGGAGTTTTACGTACACTGCTGAGGACTATGACATGATAAGTGTCCATCGCGTTTTAGTTTTTATTGGTTCTTTAGTCTATTATTATTATCGAAGTGAACCTCTCTTAATCAAAGAGAGTATGTATGAAGTTCAAATAAACTGAACGATGTTCAGGGCTTTTTTTATCAGTTATTCATTACATTCTATGACTCTTTCCATAAAAGTCATTTAGGCCTACATATTTATAAATGGTTAATATATTTATAAATATTATTGTAAAAGGAAACCACTTTTTGAATGAATGACCGTATATTCGATAGTGAATCTAATTTTTTTTATTGTTTTTCATAGGTATTGCAAAAAATATCAATGTTAGAGCACAATTTAAATGAATTAAAGGAGGCTATTCGAGCTAAAGATGATCCTTTAATGAGTGCACAAACAAGATTGCATTTACGTACATTTAGACCTAATATGGAATTGTGCAAGGATCCAGCATCCGTAAGGTAAGTCTGCATTAGAATAATTCATTATTCTATTCAAATGTTTCTCAAAAATATTGGATTTCTCAGCATATAATAACTTGTAGTTACATCATCCAATATTACTTTTTGGACTCCTTTCACTGAGACGAACTTTAGGTAGAGTTAAAAATTAGTGGTTACTCTCCGAATCCAATACATGTTGATTATAATACCCCATCCATCTGGCCTCTAAAAATGATTTTGCTATGTAAGCACAAGACTTTGAAACCATTAATTACTAATCCTTAGCAATCATCAAAGGTAAATCTTACTTTTATTGTATGAGACCTTACCGAAGACCATAATAACCTCTATAAGTATACTATTTACAAATATGGTTCCACTTGTGCATGTAGTTACTGGTTAAAGTTCACTTATCAATTTAAAATGTAGTCACTAGTATAAGTGATCCATACTGCGATACACCTGTTTTAATGGCTGCATAAATTTTATTAAGCTATTCGGATTACGTTTTCTCCTTTATAATGAACAAAATCATATGGCTGAGGTAATATTACCTACCATTCTGTGATATGTTATCTTTTAAGTTGTCCACACTATTAGTTTAAGACTCTGTGGATTGCTCTACGGACGATAGTGACTTATCAGGAAGTTTACGTTTGAGATCTCATACTAATGTTACTTTCGTATTTTCATATATACGATGTTTTAAAATGATGGAAATGAATTGTAGCTCTTGTAAACGCTTTGATATTGTTAAGCTGAATGGCTTAATTGTTAAGTTCTCACCATCATTTTTAGCATCATAATGAACACCGATGTCAATCCAAAATGATTCTAAGAAAGTTGTTCTACACATGTTTTATCAGTCATTTTCCTTATCTTGTTCACGTTTAATTGGTTTTGTGAGCAATGTCATGCCTATGAGCAGCACTCACATGATACAAAATATTGATATAAAACGTCGTTACTTGCCAGTCGTAAAAACGATTGTGCCTAAGATTTCCTAGCAAGGTGTCGTCTGTATGACCGACTGTCGTGAGATAATCCCTGGAAACGTTACAATATAAAATAGACATTTAAAGAATCAGTAGAAGAGTTTAAAGAGACTTCGAGATTGTGAAGGTGCACAAAATCTGACTTAAATCCATTTTAAGCAGATCAAATGACTGAATTGCAGCAACAGAAACAAATGTAAGAGGTTCTACTATGTAGATTTCACTAAAATGGCTTTTGAAAATCTCTAACTAATTGTTCTCTATGCTTTACTTTTCTCACAATTTTTTTAGCTTGGTTGAAGAAGTTAATGTATTAGGCCAGTCTTTGGATGAATTACTACATCAGTACTCTACAGTGGAGAATAAACTTAAAGATTTACATGATACGCAAATGACACTTGAAAAGGAGATTGAATTAAAAACAGAAACTATTCATTTGAATCAAGTTGGTTGTATGCCTAGAAGAGCATATTATCCATCAGCTGCGCGGCTTCAAGGATATTAATTCCAAAAAATAGTTTCAAAACGAAAACAATGAAGATTTAGAATTATATGTTTAATTTAAAATTATCATTCATCGATAGATAGTTCGTTTAGCATAATGGAAGAAGAGCTTATTGAATACGATTTTTCAGCTGTGACACATCCAGGTATTGTTAAGTCATTTAATTAAATACTCATCATACTCTGATAGTTATTAAACTACCTGCTCATGTGTTGTTTCTGAGTTGCTTTTGACTTTTATCAAGATCTTTAAGATGTAAAAATGGAATATCAAGAAATAATAAATTTCGTAAAAAGATGTTCTTTTATTTAGTTTATTGACTATTATTTGAACATCGTCCAACAAATTCAGGAAGGATGGCATATATTTTCATGAGAGTTCACTTACATAGTCTTATTTGTAATCATTTTGTTTATTACTTATCTAACAGTAAAAGTATATTAGTAAGTCTAGTTGAGTAGACTGAGGCACGTGTGGAACATTACATTGAACACTCTATTTTCACACCATCTTTGAGTCATGACTTCCAACGCTCCAACCTTCTTCCATTCCTGTTGTTGCTTCCTTTCCTTCCTGTTGGCACTCCATTTACTTCTTGCTTTTGCTCCATTTGCTTTCCGTTTTCATCTTCTGACCGTAGGACTTCTTTCACGTCCCTTCTTATACTACTTATATCGTTCGTATAAGTAGCACACACCACAGTGATATAGATCACTAAGCAAGAGTGGCCCAATGAGGTCACTTGATGACCTTCAGACATGTTCTACGGTACGAATGCTTATAATATTGGTAAAGAAATGAATTTATTTCCTGAAGGGGATGAATATATACGAGTATTCATGTACATGTTTTGGTAGTTGAAAAGACTTCTCTGCTCTTGCCTAGTCGCTCAAATTGTCAGTTTAAAGTGTTAGTATACTTAGAGCTCTAACAAAGCACATCAGAACATATAGCTCATTTTTTACAAATCGACTTTATTTCAGTAGGGAAGAAAAAAAATACTTATTCCAAATGAGACTGTCATTTGAGTTGACAGAAATTTCAAGTTTACTCAAGTCAGAATCGTTGTGGTACCTTCACACACATTGGAATTCGTTGATATTTAGTTTGGCTATGCCCTTTTGATTAGCTTTTAACTGAGTCATTCGTATGGTCATAACTTATATGAACCGTTGGCTTTTATTATTGTCGGGTTTGCATTAGCAGGTATGAGTGAATATTGCCCAACATGATTCATTCATGTTCCTATATACATATATGTACAGTTTAATCGTGTTCATTCGTTTACTCGCTCTCTTGCTGTTCAGCACTCGCATATCATTTTGCTTTGTGTACTTGTAATTTTGATTTGTTTATGGTGTGACTTGATCTCATCCGTATTATCGGATCACAGGAGAGTGTAGAAATGTACATATATTTCTTTTCGATGAGGAGTAGTTAGATCCAATATCCAATATCCAGTATCTTTTTCACGAGCTAGTGTAAACCAATTCGATTTCTTTGCCCTCGATTCTTGTTCTTTCTGTACGGTTCCAGGTGTTCGGCAATGTTCAATGGATCGAGGTCTAGCAACTCGACTGTCTAATTCTACTCAGTTGGCAGTTGGTTGTGAGTTTGTGTGTCTCGGGATTTGAATGAAAACACTTGTTTCAGGGCAGTAGGGTTTCCGGATACCAGCAGCCGTCACACTACCAGACCGGAGATCAGTTAGTTGCAATGTGGAGAGTAAGAAGGGTAATAAGGATAAAATTCTAATGATAATATGAATAAAATTTCAGAACTGAGTAATATATAGACGAATTTAGTTTGTTAATTGGTAGTGAGGATTGTGAGAGAGGACCGAAGTGTAAGCAAGGGAGAGGAAAATAGGCGAGGTAGGTTAAGTAAGTGATCTGAGGATATGGCAATCATAGCAACTAGCAGGTCTGAAGATATGCATCAGGCACAGCTTGTCCAAGAGGGAGATGATAGTCCGTATGTGAGTAAGCGATTATCAAGTCTCTTCTTAAAGCAGTCCACTGAGTGGGCTGTGGTTACCTTGGCTAGGAGAGCATTCCAAGTTGCGACGACTCGCAATGAGAAAACGTGTGCACGAATCTTTGATGTGCAATCTTTCGACGATTGCCTCGAGGGGAGTGGTGGTGATGCATCGGTAAGATGCTCACATTGGGATGGTTTGAGGTGTTTATTATGGTGTACGCCATAATCAGGTCACCTCTGATTCTCCTGTAGCTCAGTGGAAATAATCACAAGAGCTGGAGTCTATCGTCGTAGGGTTTACTTTTCAACCCTATCACCCATTTGGTTGCTGGTCTCTGCACTCGGTCCAAGGTATTTATGTCTCTTTTAAGCAGAGGGGTGCGCTGAAGTTTTGAACTTCCAAGTGTGGGCGCGCGCACCTCTTAAATAGGGTTAGAAATAATTTCAGGGTGATAGCACCAAGCTGTCTTTGCATAAAGTGAAGAGTCTCATTTGCCTTGGCTGCATCCCCTACATAGTTTGGACTGGTGTGGAGGCTTTCTGCGGTTATTAAACCGAGATCGCGCTCTGAGGAGACATTAGGGAGCGGACTTCCATTGAGGGTATAGATCGTTTGCTTCATATGAGGCAGGAAATGCATGACGTGGCACTTCGGTTGGTTGAGTTTTAAACCGTTTTTCACTGCCCATTTCTCAATAGATGTAAGTTCCTTTTGAAGCTCAGTCGAATCTTCTTCGCTTCTAATAGACCTCCAGATCTTCGCATCGTCTGCGTAGATCAATGCCGGCAAGCTAACTAAGCCTAACAGGTCGTTAATAAATATCAGGAAGAGAAGTGTGCTTAGGACGGTCCTCTGTGGAACTCCCGATGTGGATACTCGCCATCTCGCGTGCACTCTGTTTACCATAGTGCGAAATTTTCTATTCTCAAGGTAGTTTCTGAGCCAAGATAGGAGTGGGTCAGTGAAGCCCATTTTCAAAACCTTTACGATTAGGCGTGCGTGGGTCACTGTGTCAAAGGTTTTTGCAAAGTCGAGAAATATTACGTGCACCTGTATTTTACGGTACAAGAAGGATGTTCAACTGTGCCATGCGATGAGAAGATTAGATGCACACGACCTGCCTTTCCGAAGCCCGCGTTGAGCTTCATGGAGTATTTTATCCTTATCCGTGTACTCTCTCATTTGTTCGTTCACTAGTCCTTCCATAACCTTTGTTAATATTGGTAGTAGTGCCACTGGTCTGTAACAGGCTGGGTCCTTTCTATCTCCTCTGAAGACTGGAGAGAGTAGCTTGTTTCCATTCAGCTGGGAATCGATGTGACTTCAGTGAATGCCTGAACAGATCGTATAACGGTGAACAGAGGACTTCATTGATGCAAGACTATAGGGCGGATTTTGTCACAACGTGGTGACTTACCTGGGAGTGAGGATTTTCGTTTCCTTGGTACTAGGTCAGCAGTGATACGGATGTTCCCAAAGCCGTCATCTGGCAATGGGTTGGTGAAATACTCTGAACATGTAGGCGCCTGGCTTAGTTGATCAGAAAAATGGGTGTTGAAAATCTCAGCCATCTCTAGGTTGGTGAGGTCTTCCCTGTTCTGTCCTTTTAGAAAAAACAACCCTTGATTAGTCGGCTTTCTTTTCGACATGAACGTAAACAGATTTCGTGGGTTTGCCTCTATTTTGGCGGTTAACTTCATCTGGAATTGTCTCTTGTCACTTCGAACTTTGGTATTGCATCTGTTTCTGACTGCCAAGTAAGAACTGAGATCGGAATCCTTCAAGGAGACCTTCCACTTATGCCAGGCTCTCCTCTTCGCCTGTAGCAAGCGTTCCGTGCCGCGCCTAACCCAGGTTCTTCTAGTCCCGCGTGTGTGGTGTGACTGAGGTACATTGTCTACGACATCGTTTTGGATGATATCTCTCACTGTTTGCCAGTGATCATCTACTGTCAGCCTCCACCACACCCGTGGCCGTGGGGCATGTAGGAGGACCTCTCTCATGCGTATGTAGTTTGCCCTAGTGTAGCAAAGGTAGGGCTCGTTATCGTCCTGTGTGAGTGTTTCGTTTATGACCATATTAAACAAGATTGTGCCATGATCACTACTGCCTACTGGAGCGCGGACGTGAACATCCTCAACCAGGAGCTGGTCATTTGTTAACAAATAATCCAGGTTTGAGGACTTCCCTTCCTTAGTCCATCTGGTGGCACTGCATACGTGCTCAGTCAGCCCAGAGCTTCTGATGGCTGTACCAAGTTGTCTTTGGAACCAACCAGTGTGAGTTATGCTCTGGTTGCTGAGATTTAAAGTCGGGGTATTGAAATCTCCAGCTAAGAGTATTTGATCAAACCCCAGGTGTTGCAGTTGCAGTATTACCTCGATCAGTTTGCTTTTCTGTGCCTTAGTACCCGAAGGAGGTCGGCAGATCCCTCCAATCAAGTATTTTGTGCCATTCGTGTGGAAACATCAACATGATTCTGTCACCTCGGTTATTTGAGTGTCGTATAGTCGCTCTGCTTCTAAGTGGCCTCTGTATATATATATATATATATATATATATATATATATATATATATATATATATATATATATATATACAGACACTTCATTGACTACGAGAAAGCATTTGATAGCGTGGATAGGAAAACAATATGGACGCTTCTTCTACACTACGGTGTACCTGAGAAATTAGTTAACATCACGGGGAATTCTTATGATGGATTCAACTGCAAAATCGTACACGAAAGACAGCTAACAGACTCTTTCGAGGTGAAGACCAGTGTCAGGCAAGGTTGCTTACTCTCACCCTTTCTCTTTCTCCTGGTCATCGACTGGATTATGAAAACGTCAACATCTGGAGGGAAGCACGGTATCAACTGGACAGTTAGGACGAAGCTGGATGATCTGGACTGAGCAGATGAAATGGCTCTTCTATCGCACACGTAACAACAAATGCAAGAGAAGATGACCAGTGTAGCAGCAGCCTCTGCAGCAGTAGGTCTCAACATACACAAAGGAGAAAGCGAAATTCTCCCATGCAACACAACATGCACCAAACGAACCACTCTCGATAGAGATGCCTTGGAAGACGTTAACACCTTTACATATCTTGGCAGCATAATCGACAACCAAGGTGGATCGGATGCAGATGTGAGGGCACGGATTGGCAAAGCAAGGGCTGCATTTCTACAGTTGAAAAATATCTGGAACTCCAAACAACTGTCAGCCAAAACCAAAGTCAGGATTTTCAATACAAATGTAAAGAGAGTTCTGCTCTATGGAGCGGAAACTTGGAGAACTACCGAAGCCATTATCCAGAAGATACAAGTATTTATGAACAGTTGTCTACGCAAAATACTTCGTATTCGTTGGCCAGACAGTGTCAGCAACAACGAACTGTGGGAGAGAACAAACCAGATTCCAGTGGAGGGGGAAATGAGGAAGAAGCGGTGGAAGTGGATAGGACACACACTATGTAAAGCATCTAACTGCGTCACAAGACAAGTCCTCTTTTGGAACCTTCAAGGTAAAAGGAAAAGAGGAAGGCGAAGGAACACATTACGCCGAGAAATAGAGAAAGATATGAGAGGAATGAACGAACATTGGACAGAATTGGAAAGGGAAGCCCAGGACAGAGTTGGTTTGAGAAAACTGGTGGGAGGCCTATGCTCCATTGGGGATAGCAGGCGTAAGTATGTAAGTAAGATGATTGATGAGAAGATCACTACGGAACATATAAAACACCATATATATATATATATATATATATATATATATATATATATATATGCTTTGTGCCGTCATGTAATAACAATGAGGAGAGGCTATTTCATCTAGTAGTGACTGCATTATGAAAACCTCAACACCTCAGGAGAAGCACGAAATACAGTGGACAGCACAGGTACAGGTGGAGGATGTACACTTTGCAGATGATCTGGCTCTTCTATCGCACACGTAACAACAAAGGCAGGAGAAGATGACCAACTTGGCGTCAGTTTCTGAAGTAATAGATCTCAACATACACTTTTCATCATTCTGTTTGCTGAAAAATTTTAATACCGTAACAACATCAACAAGGAAACATATGTACAAGGTAAAATGCAGACGTTTTCAGAAGTCAAAAACTAACATATTGAATGAGTGATTAACCAAAAAAACGAAATTCCTTTCCTTGGTCAAAAGTAAAAATTGATTTTTACGAAGAAAACTAGAAATTAGAAACATGATGTAGAAAAACCAACGTTTGAGATCAAACCTTCCTCAATACTAATATTTTTGTTTATTGAAGCAGGTTTCTCTTCAACATTTTACACTTGCACATGCATGCTCAATTTTATAATCGACGAAACAATACGAATCATAGAATTTTTTTTACCTTCTGGTAATCCAATACCATAACCTTTGGAATCTAGAAGTCCACCAACTTGCATTAGTTCACAATCACGTTGAGTATAATATTCATTCATTGTTGATTCAAGTAAGAAAGCATATTCTTCTCGTTTGACACGTTTTATTGCTTCAACTGTGTTGTTCATTAATAAACCTTTCTGAGAACTCATAAATTGCCACATACGTTTATAAGTGGAAAAATTTGATTCCTAAGGATAGAAATAAATGTGACAGTTTATAAATAGAAAAAGATAACATTATCAGCGAACACAACATTGAAATCACAGTCTTCAAAAACGGGAACAAAACACGTTCTGTATTGTTCACTTCCTATGTAAGCTTGTCAACCTGAGGCAAAACCTGTTGATTGATTAGTAGCTTTAGTCAGACATTCAATGCACTCACACTAGAGATCTACTTCCGAGAATCATTATTTAACAGCTAATAATAAGTTTCAGTTGACAGATGAAGTGTTAGGCTGATGTTAAATCACAAAATAATAAGTCCTTTAATAATGATCAGATGACTTTCTCAGGTTTCTACATAATTTAATAACGAATTACAGTTATTAAAAATTGAGTTATCTCTACTTAGTGCGTGGGACTAAAGAAGTCTTTTTTTGCCAGCGAAAAAAAGTTAATTTTTATGGGTTTTCTATTCGTATCAATCGAATAGTTCAACAGTCTAATAAAACGAAAAACTTCAAACACTCTAGAGGTCATGTTTTTAGCAGCAAAGCCAAACGCCCACCATTTGATCTCCACTTGCATGCTCGTGGATGAGTACTGCTAAGGAACTCCATAGTAGGATGAGATAGTCGTCCAATTCTTCTAGGTTTCCACTGGTCGTTTAGCTTCGATTGATCCGTGATTTCCGTGGAACCGAAATTCGCGTCTAGTCAATGTGACTAAATAAAAAGATAATAATAACAAAGTTTACAAACCTCAAAAAATGCTGTTGTTGAACCACCTTGAATGGAACCATATTTGATTTTTGTCTGTTTAGCTAAATCTTCAGCATTTTCAATGGGGGCAACCATTCGTCAAACAGTGAGAAATGCAGCTAAATTAACCGCGTATGATGATATAACAATATGTGTGAAAAACCACCAAAAACCAGCAATGATACGAGCAGATGTAGCATGAGGTAAAATATCTGAGCCTTAAAATTCTCAAATGAGAATAAAGTTAGTTCAGATGCATAACAATATCTTCCATTGGCAAACGCTCTTTATCAAATGTATGAATCCTTGAGCCAAGAAGCTAGATAACAAGCCAACTCATTATTTTTCAAACAATCAAAGAACAGGCGGGCTGTTTAAACCTGGTCATTGGATCCCAAGTTATATTCTTGCAGAATGGTAAGAAAGTCAAGTAGATCTCAAAAAAATATCGACGACGTCAAAGTTTCAGGCAAACCATGCAAACAGTCTGATACCTACAGTACTTTCCGACAATCTGGGAACCTAATTAAGGTATTTATTCTAGCTTGTCTTAATTCGATAGTTGTGTCGATAAACCAAAAAACCTACTCACTTAATACAGATAGAAAAAGTGAAAGAAATTACTGTTGGATATGTTTTCGTGGTTGGCAGTGTTTTTGAAAAAGGGCGTTAGTAAGAATAATTGAATAAATACCTGTGAACTTCATACTTTTAACTACAGACTGTTAATAAGCATAGTGGCCTATTGCTGTTAGATTTTATAATGTCAAAATTATGGTTTAAATACGATCCAGTACTACTGGTAAAATGATTCAGATAAAAATATTGTGGTATCATTACAAATTTTCATTATTTATTACGAAGACACCCCACAGTATAGTTTGTCAGTGCAATGCATGTTTTAGGTTTTCAGACGACTTTGTTGATCGTAAAGCAAACCAACATTGAGAATAAATGCTGCTAAATTTATAATACCAGCGTTTATAAGACTTCAGTCAACACTTTCACTAGCCTGTCCGTTTCTGTTGATGGGTTCTATGCATTTTATATTACTCCCCTCAGACGTTTTATTCCAGTGGTGGGTAACGATCTTAAATTGTGAGGTTCTGAATTTCACAGAGCTTTAGGTCAAAAAATCCCATTATATTTACACACGCATCCTATAGCTGTTTCATGGTAAGTTTTCATTAATATTGTAAAATATTATTTCAATGAGCAAGGACTGCATTAGTGATTGTATATACAGCCCATTGTGTGAACATAAGCCTCTCAAGGACACTTCTCCAAAAGGCGGTCCCAGAAAACACTTCCGTCAAGCGAATTAGTCAGTCAGGATGTCAAGAAACACAACGATAATGTTCTGATACTTAGCGGAGGATCATTATATGATCAATATATTTTCAGTAAGAACGGAAACCAATGTACTCCTCGTGGGTCGATTTTTCCCTGGTTTTAAACAATCTCTAAAGTACAGCGTAGGCCAATACTTTGGACGCAATCGGAGGTAGACTTATTCAACTCTATAAAAGGAAGTGGAGGTGAGTCAAGTACGTCTGATAATTTGTAGCTGAAGCTGAGGTTACTTGCGGACTCCTTTGTGCCTAGATGTCCGGCCTGTGGAATAAAGTTTCTGGCTAGTACTAAAATATCTGTCAAATGTTCAGTCTTGAGAGTACCACTTAACAGGTGGTAGAACTCATCCTTGGTAATGTCCTGGAAACTATTGTAAACCGGAAATACCATCGAAAAGCAAGGAAGGCAAAGTAACTACCATCACTGAAGAACAGAGGAACAAGTGTGTAGAGAACTTTAAGGAACTAGTGATTCGGCCAGCCCCACTGAAGCCATCGGACACCAAGTCACCAAACACAGACCTCTCAAATGATGTGGACAATAACAACTGAAGAGATCGACACGACCATAGAACTAGTGTAGAGTGACCGGCAATAGGACCAGACTACTTATCAGCTGAGACATTGAAAGCAGACATAGTAGTAAGTGCAAAGATACCCCACATCATCTTCAGCAAGATATGAGAGCAAGCTAAATCCCTTAAGGATCGTTCGTGTGTCGACCAGACTGCAACCTGAACCAAATCTACTCTGTACTTGGGGGTGAAAAATATCAGAGTCAGATCAGTTTATAAATAAAAAAATCTACTGAACTTCTACTGCATATAAATCGCAAAACCTCTGTTGTTCGCTTGAAAAACGCATAAAAAGAAAGCTCATTACAAGATTTACACTATATCGCTTGATGGAGAGACTTATTATGAGAGAACTGTTGTTTGTGAAATTTTTAGTGTCCATGGTTGTCACTTAGTCAAAATGCCTCAGATTTTATTATTAACTGTATTTGCAAGAATAATCGCGATACGATTAATATGTACCACAGCAATATTCAGGCCGCCATTAAAAGCCTCAAACCCTATGCAAGCTGTGGTGCGGATGAAATACAATCCAAACTCTTTGGTAGGACTAAATAATTTGGCACTTTTGCTAAAAATATTTACATTATTCTTTAAGGCTGCTACACACACCGAAGCCTGTAAACTAAATTTTGCCGAGAAAATTAATCTACGACTACAGACTATTCAATATCAAATCAGTTATTTCATAGATAATGGGGAAAACGATAACAGAACAATTATCTGATCACTTACTCGACAAAGGTCTTATCGACCTCTCACAACAAGGCTTCATCAAAACTAAGTTTACTAGTACATATCTGATAGACTTCGTTAATGACGTTGCCAGCTTACGGGACAAAACACAACAATTAATCGTGTTGTATTTTGATATCTAGAAGTCTTCCGAAAAGGAGCTCACAGTCCCTTAACCGATATATTTCAGTACATCGGGATTGCTGTCCACCTACTTAAATGGATTAGATCTTTTTTAACGAACAGACAGTAAATCAATAGAATTAACTGTACAAACACTATGAATCAACGAGCAACCGGTGGTGTTTTGCGAGGCATTGTCTGTGGTCCACTGCGCTTCATAATCCACATCACCAGCTAATGCAGGCAAAATCTACCTGTACACTGATGACCTAAAAGTGACGTAGCTATTTTAACACGAACAATCCAGTATAAACTCACTGATGTGGATATCTGGTGTATGCTTTGGAAATTACGGCTGAATATTGAAATGTTAGGCAACACACTAAGCAAGAACATAATGCCCCAAACTTCCATCGGTAACTGACTTCGAAGTGCAATTCATGAACATCTCTGAACATATGCCCACCAAAGTATCCCGAATGAAAAGATTGCTGGGCTTTATTTTGTGTAAGTTTCTACGTAATTACCACAGAATTATTCTTTACAAATCATGCATAAGAATAATCTCTAACTATTGTTTGTTCTCATTTTCAAACTTTCACTTATCTGATATACTGAAAGCAAAAGTAACATAAAAACATTTCATTTACAGAATAATTAAAACTAACCCACTAAAATGTAATCCTGTCCACTCAGCCTGAGAAACCCTCACCCATTTAGGATTGCACCAAAGTCAATCAGCGCCCATAAATTCTTCAGTTTCTTATTGCTTTTAATCAGTTTACTACGTTCTCATGAACTCTATTGACTTATCATTCATTATATTTGAGTTAATTATTACTATGGTATACTTAGACTATCCCGCTTACTTTATTCAACATCCTTCAACCGGTACATCCCAAATGCTAGTGGTATGTTTAAAAAACCAAATTTTTCACCGCAACAAATGACAATGCTTCATTGTTCATAAGTTGTCACACCCAGACCAGCTTGCAATATGAACTTTCAGAAATAATATTTTGCAACAGCATGTGATATTAGAGCCTCCAGTAGAACATGAAATATTACCTTAGTATCCTTTCAAACGTGACCAACTGGACAAAAGAAGGAAGGTTATGGTTACAGATCAACAAACTTTGATGATAAGGGTGATGACTCCGATCTGCCCATCTTTAAGAGGCAGAATATTTTGTCTCCTTCAGGTTCTTTTTGTGTTGATAGTGAGATATTGAGGTTGCTCTAATAGATGTGCTCTTTTTCATATTTCAATAATATGCTGGGTACGCTATTCTGCCAAGACAACTTGGAACATGCTCACTCGTGAACTTGCAGTACGAATCGAAAGTTGGCGTTCGATAGAAGAAAAGGTAATGAACAATTTAATTATCAGTATTTCGCATAAACCTAACTCTTCTTCCTGAACATTCAGCTTCAATATATTGACATCCAACTTCTTACTTCAACTTATCTTCTGTCCATCACCATACACATCACAACCAATGATTCTTTATGCTTTACTGATTAATTTGAAGGCTACGTAACCGCAACTTATTTTCATCTTAGTTGTCTGCATAAATTTTATCTTCAATTACTAATACATTGTCTGCACCACAATGAACGTTTGAACAATGCTCTATTTATATATTCAGTAGCCTAGTTGCTCTATTTTTTCTCTCTCTTGTTCCTGATCAGAATCCTATGATTTTTGAGAAACCCTGGTGCCTGTACTTAAAATTCACTTCGAGCACTCGCTCGTCAATAGTACAACTTAAACTAAGAGTCTACCAATTGACTCTTTCCAACAAATTTACTTCTCAGTTATGAGGACTACTAAAGAACTCTGTTGTGCACTTACTCTATCTGTCAGTAAAGATGTGGCTGCATCAAACTGCTCATGTTAGTGACATAGATTCTGATGTGTTTTGATAAGCCATTATATTACCCATGACCAGTGTTTCTTGGTATGGATGCATTGAGGTTCATGGACGGCTTGAATACTATCCAATGCAATTTCACTAACCCAACATACAGAACAGAGGCGTAACTCGTGACTGCGAATTGCAAACCAGTCGAAAAACATCAATTGCTCTACATATAACGATGATAGTTATCCACTACAGAGGAATAAGTGGTATAGTAAATTCCTTAGTTTAACTAAAGTGACTGTGCGAAGGTCTTATGTCAACGATAATAAACCGCGTGGTATGATATGCATTTTTGTTCTCGCTGATTGTTGATTTGACACATGGGAAATTCTCATGCTGCTAAAAAATGCATATCCGAAGAAAGTACGTTTACCTTAAGAGTTCAGAGTGATTATTTCAGTCGCTGAATATCTTGAGACAGCAAAAAGAAACTACCTAGAAAACTATGAACATCCTGTCAAAGTAATGGGTCAAAATATAATGTTATTTTTCAAAGAAACCGGCATCTTTGGAGGAATTCAAGCAACTCAGAACGTTGGGAACGGGCTCCTTTGGTCGAGTAATGCTCGTGCAACATAAAAAGTCTTCTGACTTCTTTGCATTAAAAATTCTTGACAAAGCAAAGGTATTGATATCTTACATACGAAGATCGCTCATGGGAATAGATTATAAAACTTAAGCAAGTGCAACATACACTCAACGAGAAGAGAATACTACAAGCTGTTGATTTCCCGTTCCTGATTCGTCTTGAATATAGTTTCAAGGTTGGTGTATTATATATTAAAGCTAATAAACAGAATGAAGTTTACTTATTTTTAGGGTTGGAATATGTTTCTGGGGGCGAAATGTTTTCTTATCTGAGGAGAAAGGGGAGATTTAGGTACATTCTGTTCTAAACATTTTTGTGACTCCAGTGAGTCTGCAGCGCGTTTCTATGCTAGCCAAGTTATATTAGCTCTCGAGTATTTACACTATCTTGACTTAATTTATCGCGATCTGAAACCGGAAAATATACTTTTGGATCCAGCCGGATATATAAAAGTAAGAAAACTTTGTTTTACGACCTTTTATTGCTATACATTTACAAGATTATTTTTACGAGAAAGTCAAGGTATCAGGTTTGGCATTTATTAAATTTTAATAACTCAAATGTGTTTTACATTTTTGAACGGTAGTAGGGCATTAGCTGATACAACGAAATATAAAGCATGTTACTGTCGTCAAAAACTGAGTCTTGTGAAAACATGCCATGACTAAATTTTGTCTTTAGTCGACGATACCTACATGCTTTTGATCCTACAACCACACCTGCATTTAGTTTTAGGACTTACAGTTGAGTTTTAAACATTTTTCTTCAGAACATGAAAATCTTTGCTTGCATTCTTCTAGGAATGTTCAAAAACGATCAATGATTTTTAATCAATCAACAACTCTACGATCTCCCAAAATTACGATATTCTTATGTTTGCATAACTTAACAACATCTGTTTATTTTCACAGAGTTGACAGAGAATTAGATTCCATGAACTTGAAAGACGCTAAACAACAAAAACTGAAAGGGCTAAAATTTTTTCAGTTACGTCTTTGATATATTCTTACTTTTTATAACTAAACTAACCTATGAATAGAACTATTTTCATAGTAACTCATTTATAGATTTATTTACGGTGAGTAGAAAATAATCTTTTAGTTTTGACTAGACGGTGTGTAAGGCTGCTATACTGTGCCTAAATATGAGTATTAGAAATAGTTTGACTCGATAAGCTAACTAGTAATATTCAGAATTGTCTCACTTGTAGTTTTGTAGTCGGGTATGGAGTAGTATTTAAGTCCGAGAGAACTCTATGAATACATCAGAGGTTTGCATTAAAAATCCTCATTCAATACGCAATAACGTGCGTAAAACGTTCCAACCGACTTAAATGCAACAGCGAATCGACCTTCTACACACTTCTAAAGCACGTAAATCCTAAAGAATTCATATACCTTCACTTTTACTATTTCTAGTTTCCCTCCAAACACAAAAGGCAGAGTTTATAATATATAAAAAGAGTTAAACTTTAATTATAACACTTTACAAATCAAACTAACGGCGTTTCTCTGTTTTCTATATCATAATCTATAAACATACGTACATTTTCTTGTAATGAAAAATTTAGTTTTGTAATAAGAAATTCACTCATAAATGTTTTATGGTTAAAATAGGGTTTTTAGAGGTTTTTGGCTAAATTAAACTTTCGAATTATTCAATAAGAAAATCACGTTCAGTGGGTTTATTGATACTCATCAGACTTTAACAAGTCCAGAGAAACTTATGTATGACATCCTAGAAGTACACAGATGTTTCACCAGAATTAAAACATTTCCATTTTTCAAGCGTGTCATTTACACGCTGTCTTTATGTCTCCCAAAATCAAGTTTAATTACATACTTTGAATATGTTTTCAAAATCTTTGAAGACAAAATCTTCAAGTTAGTATGTTCACGTACATTTTATTTATGACGTTTTGCATAGATGTGAGCTGAGAGGATGTATTATGTTATGTTTCATCATGTAATGCGGTATCTAAAATAAAAACCATGGTTCAATTAAAATTTAGGCCGATTTAATAAAAAGAACGTTACTGTTTTTTTTCATAAAAATTGAAGATATATAAGCAAAACCTTTAAACTTTAAAAGCATTTATCTCAGAAATTTGGTTTTAAATTCAAAAAACTTAATGTCTTTCTAAAAACGTCTTGAAACTTTGACCTATGTTCAGTTTGTGGTAGTAGCATACACAGATTTCTACCGATCTTTCTGATGGACTTAAATAAAAACATGAGTTAAATGTAAGATAAATTTGAAGTTTATTATTCCGAATGGGTTTCGAGAAATAGAAGGTAAATTTAGTACCCGATTTCATTCGTAATTGTTCAAGAACTGATTCTCATCTCCAAATTCAACTTTCCTACCAACGATTCAGAATAATACAGTGTGCACACCTTATTGCTAATCTCGTCTGTCTGTAGTAAATTGTTAACTCTATTCAGGCTGTACAGGTTGGTATTCATTTCATCCAAGAATCGGGAAAACTAATTGATGAAGTAGGAAGTCCTCAATAACTGAGATAGTTGTGGAATATATTAGGTAAAATTAACGGCCGCCTATCTTGACTGCATTCAAGAATATGCTTTAGGAAAGTCATTGAAAACCAAGCAAAGGCTAGGCATTAGTTGATAAAATCACTGTAAGGTTGAAGTATTTCGGCTGCTTCTCACTACCTCTTTAGAGTGATCATTATATTCATTAATGAAGATATAAGCGAGGTAGATACAACCTGTTTTTGTCTACTATTTGATCACTGATATTGAGATGACGTTTCGTATAACGTGAGGTAATAAAGTATTTTGGAGTTCAAACTAATCAGATGTAAAACTTTAACAAAGTGTACATAATTCGAGTTTTTCTGTTGAAATGAGTTGAAGATACAATACACGAAATCCTCACATTTCAGACACACACATGTTTGCTATGATAATTGAGGAGTGAAACAACTGTTCCCTAGTTTTTAATTAACCATACATTTATTATCAATGACTCGATTTTTGTCAACTGATTAGCACAACATGTTTGTCTTAAAACACTGATCAACCGAAAAAACAATGAACTGTGTTCTCATAAGGAATAAAAATTATCGTATACATGTGTATTGTTTTGAAGTATTTCTAGGAATAAACTCTAATTTAGCCTGGTTTCATACTCAAAATTATCATCTAAGGATTATTGCTATACGGTAAAGGTTTTTGTTATTCGAACATGTTCAAGTAAGGAAAAATAGTAGTTGTAACTTTGCTCATGAAACAAGTCCAGAATGAGAATACCTATATAATTTGTGTGAATATTTGAAAAAAATTTGATTTTAGTTTTATCAATAACAAGGCTTATGTCCACCAAAATTATAAAATACATCTCGAAGAATAAATTTTAGCCTATCAACAAAACGGTATTGCATATTAAATTACTGAGCTAAAAACTGATCAAACTATGAAGGGTGATCCATGGAAGAGTTGCCATTATAGCTTGTGTTTGAAAATAATTAGAAAAGGCATTCATAGTGTGTCAAGTAAATGATTTGGGATTTCGTTTCTCCATGCCTTGCAAGGTGCTACAACTAAAATGGAAGGTCAGAAGCCAAATATTGATATTTGTCACTTATTATGGTAAAGAAACTATTCGCGTTTCAATTATAGCTTCGTGACCAATGCTTAAAATGTATGAAAAGTAAGATTACAAAAACTATTGTTCATTAGCCAAACAGTTTTTAATTAACTAGTTTTAAGACTAAGCTTCTATTCCATGTGTCAGTAAAACTTTTACGTTGAATTAAAACGAGGGTAAAACTTTTGACGGCGGAACTAGCGATATTTTGTGGCTGATAGCCAAAGTACACAAGTAACTTACGAAGCCTTTAGTATCTCACTCATGTTGTTGGAGTAATCTTTTTTTATGCTTTTGAATCAGAATCCCTTTAAACCAGTGTTTGTATATCGTTAATCAATAAAATGTCTTCGGCAGTCACTGACCAAGTAAACATCACGTTTATTTTCATTTGATTTTATCTTGTTACATAAATAAACGATCTTGAAAAATAGTTTACAGCTCTATAGAAATCTCAGGAATGATACAAGTGGGTGTATGAAAATCCATACACCATAAAATTTAGGCCTTGTCGTAAAGATAGGACTCAGGTCAAAATGGTAGTATTGTAAAATGGATGGAAGTGATTCGTAGGCAAGTGCATGAAAATACGTCTTCAGTAAAGGGATTAATCTTTTTTGATTTTAATATGGATCTACAGTGTTCGGTTACTCCTAGGATTTAGATTTAGGAAACTAAACCGTTGGAATTAGCCTTACTGTATCTTATGGACTATTGAGATTCCATCATCTTGCTACCTTTAACACAGTGTGAGTGAACAAAGAACTAACTACTTTGCTTCTTCATTTCACCATGAGCATGATTTTAATATTACCACATGTCAGTTATACTTTGAAGACTTTTATGACAAAATAAACGTAACTTCGTTTCCCGAACCTTTACTTATTATTTCACAACTATAGAATAAAGTAAAACCAGCAAAGAATAATATCAGCTTGTTCATAAAAAACATCTAATGTAACAGCTAATTGTAATTGTGTGATGCCTAACCAGTTTTAAATGAATCTTCCCGAATTCCACCGCAGATCGTAGTATTTAAGATGATGTAAAATGCTCAAAAATTCACTTTTCTGTTCTGAAATTAGGTTTTTGGTACGGTTTATTGTGAGCGCCATTTCACTGTTAAATATATATATATATATATATATATATATAATTCTTGCATACAACGATTTTGAGCCATTAACTACTGATGAACTCGTAAGTAAGGTTTGTCCATAGGTTTTTTTCAAAACATGTGACGCATTCTATAAGATATATAATCCCTTCGAAAGTTTAAATTTCGAGCTGTCCTAAATAATTGATCTTCAGTTTATACATCGGAGAGCTCAGGGTTTAGTTGTTTTTCAATCGTGCGCCGTTAAGGATGGTTAGCCGTAGTTATGTCTCGACAAAACAATTCAATCACAACATTTTAAGGTGTTTTTGAATGAATAAATCCCCTGGAGTGTTTTATAATTCTAGTTTGCTAAAGACAATGTCTTTGAAGGCGGGTTAAAAATATTAAACTAATCACAAAAATGTACTCCATTTATATATGGCTATAAATTACTGAATATTTTTGTGAATCTTTCATAAGTGAAATGTAGAAATCCCTGATATAATGTGTCAGGCATCACACTCTCAGTAAATTTAACTTTTAATACTCTATTTCATTTGAAAATTTGTACGGCAACAATATTGTTTATGTAAAACGACTGCATTATGTTACTCGATCAATGTACTTCATCCACTAAAGTAAATAAGGGATTATTAGTTAAGATATTAGAAGTTTAAAATCAGTATTTAGGAGGCACTTTGTCTCTAGCAAATTATATATGTTACACTTTGTTGATCATCG